ACTGCCCAAGGGAAATTTATTTATGGGAAGCAGCCAACGATGGATTTTGAGTGTGTCTACGGCATTATTACAGGAGGGATTCTTCTGCCACACTGGCCATTGTACACTTCTGAATTGTTTCAGTAAATACACAACTCTAAATGCCGCTAAGGACAGGTGTATCAGCTAAGCAATAAAGTAAAGCATTTAACCGGAGCAGGTATAAATCTTCTTTTCGCAGTAACTGCACCGCAGTTATCTGGGGCATATCCCTGGAAATGCTAGACGTGGAAAAACTGAAAATCAATGTATTAAACTTTAGAAATAGCGAGCTAATAACAGTGCACACACGTATTCATTCTGGTGAGGCATTCTGGAATCAGAAAAAAAACGAGTCTCTACTGGGTCTGGGTCTGACAGTTTTCACAGAATATCGTTATCTTACATGACGGGATAGACCGAGCAGTTCAAAGTGTTTCCAGAACCACACACAAACGTGAGAGCGGCGCCATTCCGCGCATGTTAAGGTGTGCGGCAGAAGCCCGCTCGTACCATGGCGAACTTGGCGTCTCTGGCGAACATGAACCGCCCGATTCGCTCTTTCTCCTCGCGCTGAATGCAGCGAGCGGCGAACAGCCATTGGCCCGAGCTCGGCGTCCACGAGCCGCAGCGGAAAGCCCACCGCGCGCTCTCCATTTAGCCAACTAGCTAACAGAGTCTCTGAGTATAATAGAAAATCCCGGGGCGTATTCTAGTTACTCAACAAAATTTAAATCCCACAATTTTACATAAATGCATTTCCGTGCTTAAATTGACAAATGAACAGCTCCATACACATAATGTACTAACACCAGAAATATACAAAATGAACCGACAAATACCCAGACTTTTTTAAGGAACCGCACCAGGGGCGGTACTATATTGTGCGTTCTAAGGAGACTGGCATGATACTCTGACCAATAGCTAAGTACGACTTCTGAAGGCGTTGCTCCGTTGTGTACGCAATTTAAATGCGTTACGCAATTTCCAACCCTGTTCCTGTAAACCACACCCCTTGTCGCTACCAATGTGCAAGTCTGGCAGGAGCAGCTGATCGGCTGGAGGGATAAAGGTTCACATTGTGATTTACTGGTTGAAAGTGGGGCTATGACTGTTCAGTTAGTTGTCAGGTAACTGTGACATTCCAGTAGTCGAAAAACACGCACGGAATTCCACAATAAGTCGCGTTGGTTGCAATTAGTTCCGTTTCAAAACGCGTAAACCATAGTTCCATAATGTATAAAGATGTGTACTAACCACAATGAAAATAATTGCGTGGCTCTGTTCTAGCAGATAAGTTAATTTGGTGAGCCAGGAGAAGGCTAGATGTGGATCCATATTAGTCGTACGTTGAACGTCGTTAATACTAAACTAGCTATAATGTGTAATATAGGTAGTACATGCTAAGAGAAGCTTATGTGTGTATGACATGGTACAAAGAAGATGATGCCAAGCAAAAGCACAGGACACTGCAGCTTTGGATGCTAACAGTAAATGGAATTTGTGTAGGTTTGTAATGTGAACTACATTGGCCAATGAAAAAGACTGGGAGATTGCTGCAATCCAGCAAACGTATCATTGGCTAACTGAGGCTCCTGGCTATGGTAAACTTGACAGCTGGTAATAATTTCTCTGAGGTAATTTGTCCATTTTATTTTTTTAATCACGCTTTAATGTTTGTTTCACGTGCAACAGTAGATTTTATAACTAAGTAGTCATAGCTGAAACTTTATTTTAATTAAATATTAAATAAAGTTTAAAGTGAAGTATATACGTCTGCGTATTGCTGCCACCATGATAAAATATTTTATATACTTCACTTATCTCGTTATGATGAGAAAAAATGTTTCATGGTGGTATTTACATGTATTTGCTATTACTGTATAGTATATAGGTTTGAATGACCATAAGATTCAACTTAGGGTTGTAACTGTTGGATATCAAGAACACAAATACTAGGATATACGGTTATCATGAGCTTTTCATACCGTTACAGCCCATATTCCGAGAAAATATACACTATAACTACCCAGATAAATAGCTTTAAACAGTTTCTTTGCCTACCTAAGACTTTTGCACAGTAATGTACATAGATAATATATCTAAAGACTCCGCACTTTTTTATTTCAGGGAGGTGAATCAGGGAGAACCAGGAGGGGGGCGGTGGTGATCCATAGCCATGCTCCTGTGTTGGAACACTTTTCAGGACAACTGCACATCATTCCCTGATGTCTGGGGGCTGTTCTCAATTTGTAAGCTGCCAGTCTCAAGCACTAGATCTACCTGTAATGAGGTAGGAGTCTTTGTGAAGTGCAGGCTGGCTATCCTATCGCTTAATATTCAGCAGCCATACTGCCTGCCGTTCAGACCAAGTAATCCACTTGAAACTAAGTAGGGTTGGGCCAGGCCAGTACTTGGATGGGAGACCCAGTAGGATAGCTGGGTTGCTGCTGGAAGAGTTGTTGGTGTGACCGGCAGGTTAGCCCATCCTATGGTCTGTGTGGATCCCAGTGCCCCAGTGCAGTGATGGGGACAATGTGCTGTGAAAATGGTGGTGTCCTTCGGATGAGATGTAAAACTGAGATCCTGATTCTCTTAGGTCATAAAAGATCCCTGGACATCTTTCGAAAGAGTATGGGTGCTACCCCGATGCCCTGGCTAAATTGCCCACTAAGGCCCTAAGAAATGAACTTTCATTCATCCACTTATCATGTTATCCCAAATATTATCTATTATTGTCATTCTAGTTCATAGACTTACCCTGTGAAACAGTAGTGCTGATCTTCATTTATTGCCCTGTGTTTGTTTCCGTTGGGGTGACCAGCTCAGATGATTATCCTTAGTCAAAGGGAATGATAATACAGATCGTATCGATTATTCACACTTATCAGCTGCTGATGGGTGGTTGTATAATTTTTGTTAATTAACATTAATACGACAGGTAGCAGTACAGGGTAAACACAAGCATCCATTAGCAGGCTCTTTCTTTAAATATCAAGTAACTATCGCCATAGCGAGTTTTTATAATTTAAAGTTGAGAGTATTATTTGTGCGTGTATATTTATAGAAACACAAAGCATGGAAAAAAATACTTGAAATTAACGTTTAGCTTAGTGTGTTAAATGGCGTCCAGTTGGATTTGTGCTTACAGTCTGCATCCTCATCCATAGATGGCATATTTACAAGGATAGAGAGTAATAGTGAGTTAAGACATAAAGATCACAGGGTAGTCATTTGTATTGTTTATTTTAAAAACAATCATGAACAGCTAAAGCCAAAACAGGGAGTCAATCATGTTGAATTTTCTATAGAATGGAGAAATCACCCCAGACTTCTTACCCAAAAATCTCATTTTTAAGCATGTTTTTAATCTGTGAGATAAGGAGAGGTTCACTGACAACAGGTCAAAGGTAGAGGAAATGGGTCCCAGGAGATTCTGGTGCTGAGATATCTGTCTGACACCTTAGCCTGCAGAGACCCTGGAGAATCCTACCGGAAACTTCATTAGAATAACCCTGTTTGTGAAGGCAGTGTAACCATGGCAACAGACCAGCATTCTGACACAATGAAGAGGCAGGAACGAGGTACACAGTGTTCACAGGTTAAGAGTCAATATCAAAGCACTGTGCTAGGCCCAGCCCCCCCGACACCAGTGACACCAACCTCTACCTTTGATTGGCATTAAGTATGTAGCTCTTAATTCTGTCCATTTGATGAAAAAATAGGCTTTTTTTGTCCCTCAGTTCATAATGTTTTAAAAATATAACCATAATATCAACTTAAAGGTACATGAAAAAGCAGTAGACTGTTGTTACTCTTAGATCTTGTGGGGGTATAAGCGAGCGGCAGTGATGGAGCCGTGTAGCAGAGCCAGGGGAAACGGGAGCGTGCGCGGTTTCAGTGATTCGGGCGTGGACGCGTGGACGCGTGGCGGCCCGGGGCCGTGGCGAGCGGGGGGTGGCTTTGTATCTACATTTATAAAAAGAGTTCAGTCACACGGAGAGTGCAGCTGTCTCTGATCCATTATTGCAACAAATTGTTTTCCGAAGATGGTTACAAAAGAGAAATATACTCTGTTCACTACGTGGTCAGAATTATATATACATCAGTTAAAAAGCAGGCATGGTGTGCAGTCTCTATCTCTTTGCAAAGGACACAGTAAATAATTTCTTTTCCATAAACTGTACATATTTATATATGTTCACAGTATAATTTTATTCCTTATTTCTGTTACTTTTATCATGAACACTTCTATTATTATTGTTCTGTTATGGATTATTCTACTGACCCCATGACTTGGGGGATTTCCCCTGTTTGTCATGAGCTTCCCTTCTAGCTGTAGGCTACTGTGGTGTAGCTCACGTCTTCATGGCCAAAGGATGCTAAATAGCACAGTTTTGTGTTTCACGTTTACAGTTTTCTGGTCTTGTGTTTTATTCTGTCCTTCTTCTTCCATCGCCAGTGGGCGATGCTGTCCTGCTACAGGCCATCTGGCGGGCACCAGCGAGCGTCCACCAACGATGTCGCCCGCAATGTGCCGCCCATCCCGGTGGCGACGCAAAGAAAGTGGAGGTCACTTGTTGGGTTCTACCTTTGCGGTGGTGCAGGTGCTCTTCCCAATGTCCCGCCTTCACTTGCCTAGTTTACCTTGATTCCCTCTTAATTGTCCGTGTAATTATTTACTTTTCAGTTGGTCATTTTATTTGCTCAGCTTGGTCGCTCGTCGTAGCACTACAGTAAGGCACAAGGGTATGTTTGGTCTTCACGGTAGGTCCGGGGACATTAGGGCAAAACCGGAACTCTGACCCGAGTGCACGGCCTTGGGGCAATCAGGGGTCAGGACGCGGCCATTCTCTCCCACACTCCCCGTGATGGACAGTCGGGCCTTGTTACGCATGGCCTCCGTGAAAGTGAGCTGTCGGGGGAACAACAAGGTGTTAGACCATGCAGCTTGAGCCGTAAAAAGATCGTACAGAATTCAGAGGCAGGCGATGAATAAAAGCAAACATGGAAACACGGAATTTATAAGGCAGACAAAGCGTATCTACAAACAGCAGCACTTGTAATGTCACAGGTAAAGACTCTGACCTGGTCAGCTGATTACATGAACACATGACCACCTAAGCCCCTGACTACATGAACACATGACCACCTAAGCCCCTGATCACCTGACCACATGAACACATGACCACCTAAGCCCTCTGATCACCTGACCACATGAACACATGACCACCTAAGCACAAGACCTGATCTGAAGACGCTGCTTACTCTAACCTGGATGACACAGTACAAAATGTTTTCTAAAATTTGAACTCCAAAGGTTAATGTCGTCTTTCCACGACTGGGATTTTTCCACGCTCCATAAGCGAATGTACCTTAGAGGATGACCCAGGCCCCATTCAGATCGGAGCTGGGCTATTCTTTCACCAGTAAATCCCAACATTCCTGTTGTTTTCCATCCATCCATCTGTGTTCTAAACGCTGGTCAGGGTCACGGAAGTATGTTATATTGTTTCATAAATTATTTACAACCTTCTAACAAGTGTAATATTACTGTTCAAATAAGCAGAACATACATTATTAGGATAAATCTAACAGATAATGTAACTTTTAACCTCACTAAGGCATCAGTTCAGGACAGTGATTGGACTGTGAGGCTAAATTATTGACAGTCTACATCTCCTTTGTGAAGCTGCTGTCCTCTCCATACCCAGAGTTTGGGTCCTTGTAGGCTGATGATACTGATTTGACAGTGAGGTCACATGATCTGTGCTTTAGTGGGCTAAGTGTGCTGTCATGGCCTGACCATCAGCATGATCTTGCTATCTCCAGGTGAGTGGTGACCAATACCCGTCATGTTCTGCCTCTGCCAGCTGAAGCAGAATCAGCTCAGTCCTCCCACCGATCCCGCTCAGAACTGAAGGGCCAAGCCGACAGACTGCTGAGCGTGCACCCTGCTGACCTTTAAGAGGCGGCGCAGCCGGCCCGGAAGCACGTATGAACGAAGACGAAAGCAAAACGCAAACGACAGTAATAACAGGAATAACAGAAGAAGCTTTTACCGGCAGTCAAACAAGATGCTGGAGGCACAGAAATGACAGCAGCCCAACAAGCACATGAGACCCTAAGTCCTACCCCTAGATCTTAACGCCCTCGTCAGCCTGCGGGCGGTAGCTTTCTCTATACGGGGCTAGGCCCTGGCTGCTGTGGGTGGGGCTGGGGGGGACACTGGGAGAGGGGGTGGGTTCTGCCAGGTCCACCTTCATGCGCTTGGCCTCGTTGCGGGACTTGTAGCAGAACTCGATGAGGGCTACCAGCATGGCCAGCCCCAGGCCCCCGACCAGAATGTAGAACACTCCAGCCACGTTGCTCAGGCTCAGGGCCTGGGAGCTCTTGTCCTGGGGGTGGAGAAGGACAGCGGGGTCAGGGTTAGCGAGACTCCGCCCTGCACACATGCGGCACACGAGCAATATTTCCGAGCAGCACGGTTACTTGCTAAAAAGCCAGCCTGTCTCCCCTAATTCTCCTGTCACTGTCACCTTTGGTGGTGTTTTGCGAAAGATGGTCGCTCTGTCTGCGACTTACAATTAGGGATGGCGACCAACTGATCAGCCACACTGTGATCTCTTTGTATAGTCATGACTTCTTCCTTAATGGTAACCAATGAGCCCTAATATCTGTGCAGAGAAACCCAGTGACCTGGACTACAGGAAGTTATGAGTGCTCAGATTTCAAGTTACAGGCGATAGAGCGCCACCATGTGGCAGCCCCATGTGTCCTGCTCCTGCCCTGGCTGCGCTATCACACGTCACACTCGCTGTCTGTCTGCCTTCCCTGTTCTCTTTCTGTCTCTCTCTCTCTCACACGCTGCCCTCCGGCCTCTTGTGTGCTGTGACATCAGTGGAAAGAGGTTATGCTTGGAGGGGACTGACCTTACTTCCTGAGTCCTTGGGTCCACACTCGCCCTTATCGTACCACCATTTGTTTTTCAGCTTGCCTAAGACGCCTGATTCACTCAGTTTCAAAACGGCAAGGTTTACGGGGGTTCTTCGCCAGGTGGAAAATAACATAAATAACATCATAGGTCATGTTATTTTATGTTATTCAGTCTAAAAGCCAACACAGCATCTGTGGTTGAAAGCGATGGAGCGTAGGCCCTGGCCCCAGTCCAGCCAGAGCACCACAGACCGCTGTGTGTTGGGGGGGCGGGGGGGGTTGGGGGGCTCCATCGCTTTCGGTGACGGGCGCATGCTGCCGTGACATATCCGGGAACTCAGATGAACGGTGAACCCAAAGTTATCGATATATTTCTGAAAGGCACCGAAAGAAGGACGCATCCTTCAGTCCAGCTAAGGATCCCACCCCCCACTGTAATGGAAACACACGGTTGCAATACTCCTGCTTTGAAAGTGACTGCTGTCCCCGGGCGGGCCGCGCGCCCTCTGTTCAGGGGGCACGGGCGTCTGCAAGGGCCAAGTCACGGCAGATGCCCCCGTTACCGCGTTCACTGTTTACCCGCGCTCGGTGACGTGCAGGCTAACCTTCTCACCGCCTCCGCCGCTGCCACACTCGCCCTTGTCGTACCACCATTTGTTTTTCAATTTGTCCAACAGTCCTTGTTCGTTCAGTTTTAATACTGCGAGGTTAACAGCACTTCTTGAAACGATAAAACATATTTGTCAGAATGTGATCATAGGAGGGTGGAGGGGGGTGGCTTGCTCACCCCCACTCCGAATAAACCTCTCTCGCCTGGTCACCTCATTCCAATGACACCCAGTCATCATACTCCCCCCTCTCTCATTTACTTTTCATATTGACATTGTAACCATGATGCGGAGCCCTTAGGGATACAAGCCTACATGTGAGGGTAACTGTTCATTTGAAACATATTTCCAGCTCAGAGTTTTTATTTTAACTTCCCTTGACTAGCAACAGTAGAGGCCACATAGCAACTGTCTTTCAGAGAGAGGGTTTTTCGGAGTGAATGGCAAGCCTTCTCAAGATCATTTAGCAACAGAAATAACAGCATTCAGGCAGAAAAAAAATCTAAATCAAATGGTTATTGTGTAGAATAACAGTCACCATCTGAGTGTGACATAATTTTGGGCTCTGGGGAAACCAGGGACAAAACAATGTTATTCCCTGTTTGGCCAGTAGTGGGAGTCATCACACAGTGAAGGATCTTCTCCTCCAGAAAAAAATAAGTTTTGGATGAGCAAAATTTGAGGCAAACCCAAAGACAGTAATCAGGTATCTTTCTTCTGTGTGCTTCTGTGTGATCATTATCAGGGAGTGTGCTTAAGGGATAGAAGGTTTTGGAAATAACATTATTACAATAGCAATGCTGTTTGTGTTAAGAAAAAAAAGAATGTGTTGTTGCCGAGTTAAACATTAAGATGTTTTAGCAAACTGACAGTAATGACATATCTGTCCTTTGTCTAGTGAGCAACTTATATCAATGCTGTGTCTTGGACCTCCTCCATTGCTGATGCTTGTTGATGGATACTTCAGTGGGCCCTGGGCAGATGATATTAAATATGGTTCAGACCTCAACATCCAGTCTAGCAAATGTGTTAGAAGTTACCAGAGTAGGTACTTCAGTAATGCTTCAGGAGATTGACTAACCCTAATTCGCTGATATTGAAGTATTAATGCTGCTCAAGGGTATTGGCTAAACCTGATTTGCTGACATACAACCTTTAATGACACTCGAGGGGATTGAATAAATCTGATTCGCTGACACAGAAGCATAAATGACGCTCGACGTGATTGGCTGATCCTGACTCACTGACATAGAAGTTTTATTATGCTTGAGGGGATTGGTCAAATCTGATTTGTTGGTGGATGAAAATCAGTGATGCTACATGCAAGCAGATAAAGATCAGTTGAGGTCCACAGGGTCAGCCAAGCTTTACCTGGCTGGTTAGAGTACAGAGTCAGACGGTGCTGTTTCTTTTTCACACGGATTGACAGTGTGAAACCATTTGTAGAAGAGAAGCTGTCCTTACAAAATTCATAACACTTTTGTTATAAAAAGTAAATTCAAAGTAAATGCATGATTACCTTTGTAATGTTCTGTAGAGAGTGGGAATGTGAAGACAAACACCAATATACTCATTCACACACACACACACATAACCACTCAAACACATTGCGATACTCAGTCACACAAAAGCACTTACAGACACCAAGACACTCACAAACACCACAACACTCACAGACACACACAAGCACTCATATACACTGAGACACTTAGACACACACAAGCACTCATGCACACCGAGACACTCACAGACACACAGAAGCACGCACACACACCACGATACTCACAGACACACAGATGCACTCACATACACCACGAGACTCACAGACACACACAAGCACCCACACACACTACGACACTCACACACACACACAATCACTCACACACACCGTGACACTCACAGACACTTTCACTCACTCAAAGACTCACGCGCACATAGGTTTACACACTCGCTCACAGCACAATGCGACGGGAGCTTGGTGAAACAGAAGGCACATCAGGGAAGGTGGAATACCATAACAACACGCTGCCATATTGTTACACTATTCCACCCACCTTAACTGTGAGCCCTTGGGCGTGGCCACGCCGTAGCCCTTGGAGTCCAGGTTGCCCCCGACCTTCATGGTGTCGCAGGGCTTGCGCTGCTCTGTATACTCGTTCATGGTGGACTCCAGCAGGAAGGCGTACTTCCCTTTGGACTTGCGCACACGGGCCACGCCCTCCGCTGTCGTCTTGGTAAACACCGTGGGCTCCGCGGACTTCATGTAGCTCCACATCTTCTCATATACAGCAATCTTTGATCTCTGTGATGGGGGAACAAGCCTTTTTTACAGGTACATATATATTTTTTTAAATAGTCATTACTCTGCATCTTAGATGTATTTTACGATATTGCTAACATACTTTGATGTATTTAATATCTCCAGTGTGGATGTTTAACTCGTCTCTTAATACATGGACATCCTGGTTATGACTCATGAGTCCAGTCTTGGCTAAATATGAGCTTCCCCCTCATTTCTTCCAGCTACAGGCCCAACAAAGGCATATTTCTGTCTGATGAGGCTCCACACCTGTGGTACAGGTTGTGAAAGCGCCACCGATGAGCAGCCTGCTGTCCGTCCTGGGATCAGTTGAGCCTTTACTCTTACAAGGAGTCCAAAGCCCCCTCACCTTTCTCTCTTTTTCCCTTCATCATCCCATCACTCCCTTGCATTTTTTTTTTTTTACACTTGCTGTGTCACAGAAACACATTTGCTTGCTGATGTATCACTGCGTCTGCAGGATCACTGGGACAGTTCAGAGGTCACGACAGCCTCAGCACAGCAAATAGACCAAGGATGCTTGGCTTCAAAGCCAATCCCCAGCCTGTTCCTTATTGGGCCAGACATTATGCTATATTTTATCGAGATTTTCAGTCTGTGCGTGAAAGATGTGTTTCTTCTCGGCCTTATCTCTCACACACAAAGGTGTGAACCTCACCCTGCGTAAAACAAGGGCAAAAGCAAGGATGTGCAAACATTTTCAACATGTTCAGCCTATTCAGCTCACAGCTCCCATGTTCTTAAGTGGAGCCACTCACCCTGAAGAATTCTTTTGTGGACCCTGAGTCCAGCGTCCCGTAAGCAATGTCTGTCTGCTTGGCCAGATCCTCCGCACTTTCTATGGGGGACACCATCCTCTCGACTGTGAGGAAGGCAGCTAGGTTGGCGGTGTAGGAAGAGATGATGATGAGGGTGAAGAACCACCAGACCCCACCCACGATGCGGCCAGAGAGGGACCTGTGAGAGTACGGGGGGCAAGAGGTGGTTCAGTGGAGCTATAAGGTACCAGTCGAACACAGCGCCTGGCTCAGTGTAATCCAGTCAGCCAGGTCACTGTATTAGCTGAACTGTATAGCAGCCACATGGATGAACAGTTGTGCTACAACATGATTCTGTGACCTCTAAAGTGCCGCAAGTTGGAGAGTTAAGCAACACCTTACATGCTCCAAGGAAATGAAAAAGAACAAGAGCTGGACATTGTGTTTCTTTGGTGTGAGCATGTGAGCTCAGGCCAGGCCAGAGAATCTTACAAGAAGTGGACAATGTCGAAACTCAACCCTAGGCTGTCAAAACATAAATAAACTGCTGTTCAAAGAAACTGAAGGAGGAGAAGTACAACAGGTGGGACTGAAATCTCTGCAGCACATTGCACTCCTTCTTTTGTTCAGAGAGAGAATAGCTGTGCTTTGCTTACAGAATATACACAGTAAAATGGTTAGCATTTCTGAAATTCGGAGTTGGTAAAAATCTAGTGAAAATCTGCTTAACATTGTTGAGTGTCCAGACAGACCTGAATCCCCTTTGATAGAATAAGAACACGTACAATAAATAACTGGTCCATAATGCACAAACTTTGAAAAGGAACCAGGGTTACAGCAACCAAATCAGAAGAATTGCATCAGGACTTCAAAATCCCAACCAGCGAACCGATGGACGAAACCAGAACAACTTTATCAGAAACACAAGAACCTGGACATCTGGACCAGGTGAAACAGTGAAGTAATATAATCATTTGAAGTATAATTTAAAAAAGCAGTGGGATGGCAGGCTTTGGAGAGGATTTAGCTGATGTTAGCACTCAGTCGTGGAGCCCCTCACTGGGAGCAGCCTGCTTACTATCACTGATCCACTCTGTTCAGGTGAGAGACAGGTTGAGAAAGAGCATACTGTAATAGTGCAAGAGTGCAAAAAGAGCCATCGACTAACAGAGCCGACCGTCAAATGCTTGGAGTAAATCTGATGCATGGTCCACGCTACTCTCACTCCATTCCAAGGGCTGCTACCGTATCCCACTGTAATAGCAGGAAATCAGCTCTGTTATGCCCCAAGCCAGACACAATCAAGGTCTGTGTCCCACTGAGGTGTTTCTACATTTTCATTCCAGGGTGATTACGGTCAACCCCTGCCCATAGGCCACGGAGTGCGAAAAAAAAACAGGAGTGTTAAATTTGTCATTGCATGAAATCACCTGAAATGAGTTCTTTTACGTGGAGGCTTTTGGGGTTTTAGATGCAACTGCTGACTGAATAAACCCAATCAGACTGAATTTCAGAAGTGAAGTCAGCTTCATACATTTACATCCATATAGACACAAAATTAGACCATAAATGCTTTGTATGCAGACAAAACTGCAATCACACATCATCCTGTTCAACTCCTGCAGGCCATGAGGTCATTTGCATTGTACAGGAGTGTCCTCATTGAATTATAATGTAATGTGATTACCATGGAGACGAAATTACGACAAACACAGGGAATTCCACCAAACTCTTCAGGAGTAGTGGTCTCTTTTACCTGAGTGAGAATGAGTGTACACCTACAGTATTGTGGCTCAAGCATTAGTGAGCCATTCCTCAGACCATCACTGTGATGACAGCCAGGACAGACACTAACCCTAAACCTAACCCAAACCTTAACCCTGCTCTCTGGTAGGTAAGCAGAACATGTCCAAGGGCAATTTTCCTTCCTTTCAAGATACAACATTATATGTGATTCCTTATCATTCCAATAAAAGTATGAATCCTTATGGCTCTACAAAGCAAATAGGATAAAAATAGAGGTCTACTATGACTGCATCAAAATCATGGGTCCTCTGCAGCATCCGGCCAATGCCAGGGCTGAGGGGCACCATTATTTTGATAGCATTCTAAGTACCTTTGGAGTCCTGGCGCGGTGCTGAGTCCTGTCACGTGATGAGCCACTTTTCTGGGGGGCTGAAAAATACAGTCTTTCTTTGTTTAAAGGAACCGAGAGAGGCGAGGCCTCCGCTGTTACGAGCGTGACGGGTGAAGCGGGGTGTGCTACACAGAGACGACGCCCCCCCACCCCCAAGGGCTACGGACCGGCGGGACACAACGATGGATCTGCTGTAGTGTCTGACTCGTGCGACAGATATGGATGTTGACAATTATTTGCTCACCATGAGATGGGCAAGGTACCATCCCCTCACCCCGTATCTCCAGCTTTAGGTCAACACCCACCCACCCACCCACCCAAAGCATATTGGAAAAGCAGGACAAATGGAAAGTTGTATAGGACAAAGGGATGTAGTCATGATGTGACTTTGGACATGACTGCAGATCTTGTCACGTGACCATCCAGCAAGAAGCATGAAGAAGCTAAGGGAGACACTGAGGCTGGCACAGATAGAGCACACTCATGTATACACACACAATCTCTCTCTCACACACACACACACACAGGTAATATTTGTACATTATAACACAAAATGACAGCTATACCGTTAATGATTAGCGTAAAATATTCAGCAGATTGCAGAAACACTTTACAGCAAAATTTACGGTCTTAACAAAGCCAACAAAATTTGCTTTTGTCTAATGATCTCATATATAGATTTGAATGAGTTTCTTTGCTTGTCTTGATATTCTGAATATGTTGTGCAAATTCAGCCTACTGCTCAGGATAGGGATCAAAGTCTATAAACGGGAAAAAACAAACTGCTGGTTACCATGCGGATAGATGAGTGGAAGAACATTTCTGCTTTGTGTTAAGAAGTGACCTTCCAGAAAACATAACAAATAATCTCAGTCTGCTATTATTGACTATGTGTTATTACCCTTAGACCTTGATCATGTGCCATCATTCAGTTTGCTGTTTGTTCATTCTGATGATGTGTGAACTATGACAGTGTGGGCTCAGTGGAGTGACAGCCAATGGGCTCAACTCCTGGCTGGAATTGAAGGAATATGTAACTAATTACAAAAGAAGCCCTAATTGGGAGGAAAGGCCAATTCCTCTCACTGATGGTGGGTATCTGAATTAAGCTGAGGTGACAAGACACATCGGACTAAAAAGTTTGAACTTTGTAAAAATCAAACCAAGACCAGAAATTGACTAAAAGGTTGTACGTTCAAGGCCACAATAGGCTCAGCTGTTGTACCCACAAGAAAGTTATAGTAATGGAAGACTAACTAGCAATTGAAGGCATCAGGATGCCACTTGAAAGGATTTGTATGGTATAAATGAGAAGGTGTGGGGTTTTCCAGGACTTTCTTTGGCTCGGACCATGCCTTAAGGGGCAGAAAGCTAAAATGGAGGTCTTTTCAGGACCACCCACCTGGGCGAAATGTCACAGCCCTGTTGCATGAAGGCCCCCAGGGAGAACCAGAGGCTGTTGAAGATGCCAAACTCATTTGGCGGCTGGTCACTGGGTAGTCCATCTGCACCATCCTCAGGCTCCTCCGTGTGCCACTCATAGGGGCTGAAGCGGCTAACCAGGAACAGCACCACGCTGACACCGATGTAGGCGAAGACGATGCACATCCAGATCTCATAGGCTAGTGGGTCCAGGAAGGAGAACACACCCGGCTTGGACTTCTGTGGCTTCTTGATCATGATGGAGATGCCCAGACTCATGAAGGGTTTGGAGAAGTCGATGACCTCCTCCCTCACCAGGGTGATGGTCAAGGGGGCCACAGCAATCTCTGCTTTCTTTTGGGGAACAAATAATTAGAAATGTTATTCAGATGTTTTTCTGTTCCCTTTTTGCCTGAAGAAATTTGAATTGATCATGAACAATTACAGAGGTTGGCAAAAGGTTTCACCTTTAAAAAAGCTAAAGGTGAAACCTTTTGCCAACCTCTGTAATTTTTAATAGACAAAAATGTCCTTAATTTAATAATTTTTAATTTAATAATTAATCATTTATTTTTCACCGAGTTGCTTATCGTGCTGCTTGTTACCACAGATTTGAAATGTGTCTTCAAAAATGTTTTGCTTTTTCTTTTGCAGTTTCACAATGACTGCACCATGGGAATTGTAGTGTTTTATGAAATTACTTGCTTTCATTTTATCTCCCAGCAAGACCACTGACCTGCTTATAAGCCACAGAGCAGAGCGGTCATAACAACTTTCACCACTTTTCATTCTTTTTCCACTAGTTTTTTTTTTTTTGCATTCTGCATTTTGTGTTGCAACGTCACTTTGCAATTTTAAAACGAACCATTTTAATCCCACGGGATTCATTTAATAGCCTGTGATGGAGCAGTGGTGTAGGGACAGAGAGTGATAAGTCCTGAAATTCCAAACGGAAATTGGGTGCAGCTGTGGAGGTCTGCAAGCTCGTAAGGCTCCTTTTAAATCTGCAAACCAGATGACTTGTTAGCGACTTAAGAGCTTTTTCCTCCTTGCCTCAGCTGTTGAAAGCTTAAAATTAATCCAAGAAAGAAATTAAACTTTTGTTATGACAGGCTGACACTCTCTGAGGGAAGAAGGAGGATTCAGGCAGACGCTGGCTCTTGGATGCGGCTGTTAGGTGAGGACTTGAGCTGCACTCTCCAGATAGGGAAAGGCTGATGTCCACACTGACTGTCCCCACCTTTCATGCAGTGCATGAAGCAGCTGCAGACCCATTGCCATGCACTCCATTCCTCCCCAACCCCCTGCTCTTACACTACCCTACTCTCATATTCTATACCCTACTCCCCTCTACTTTATACCCTATTCTCTCATACTGTATGCCCCCCCCCCCATTCAAATATGGCTCTTGATTCCAAATCCAGGCCTTCTTTTCAGTTCTCCCAGGTAATTAGTTTAATAATTACTGATTCTGATTGGCCAGAGGCTTCACACCTGGCTCACAGGTATAGGAAGGCTGGAAAATCAGCAGTGCTCGGCCCTTGAGGACCATGATTTGAATAGCCCTACTCTATGCCATACCCCCATATGTTTTGTACCCTACTCTCTCATGCTGTATACCCTGTACCCAATCTGACACAGCATATACCAGCATACTCTACCATATTTTCCTATGCATTTTACCCTTCACCTTCATACTTTATACCCTGCTCCTCTACATGTATGCCATTGATTCTTCAAATTGACTCCTAGCTAGATTCTCTTGGTATGCTCAAATCTTTCCTAGCACGACTGCTGTAAAATTAGCAGTAACACTTTACTTAAGGCCATGTTTATAGTAATTTATATACACACTCATACCATATAATAATACATTTATAAATATATTTTTGGGGGCAGTGTGTGGCTCAGTGGGCTAAGCCTGTGTGCCTGTAATCATAAGGTCACCAGTTCAAACCCAGCCTCATCATGTCTGTGGGTCCTTGAGCAAGGCCCCTAACCCCCAGTTCCCTGGGCACCCCCACAGGTAGCTGCCCAACAGCTTACTCTACAAAAAGCAAATTGAGGGAGGCTTAAAAATAATTTCCCCACAGGGTCAATAATAATCATTATTATTATTATAAAGCATTATAATCATAGCTATATATATTTATCAAAAGGCATAACACATTATAGCCATATGTATTATGTATTATCAATGCTTTGGCCTTAACTAAAGTGTTACTGAAATAGATATACTCTGAAAACGAGATGGTGTTTTTTCACCAATATTGTAACACTATTGGTATATGAGCACTCTCCTATGGGATTGTCACAGAGTTTTTCTAGGGCCTTGTTGATCTGTGGAGATTTTTACAGCATACGCATACACCTCTCCCTTACCCCATACACCAGTTCCCCGACCATGCCATTCCAGATCTTTGTCTCAGGGTCCCGAGCCCCGTATTTCCCGTCCGGCACAATTGCGATCTTGTACTTGATACCGATGTGCTTGGCAATCTCAGAGGCGAGGTCCACACAGTATCCTTCATACTGGTCATTGCCCTCAAACATCTCCCAGTTCTTCTTCAGCATCACGTATGGGCCCTCCTGCAATGAATGGAGGAGAAGCTGACTGCCTCAAGTGACTACAATGACAAGAAGGCAGCCATCAAACACCATCTGCACAAAGACAGAAGCCCACACACTGACCCTGAAGGATCCTTGCAACACAGAGCCTCAAACACCTACCACGTTTGATGGCATGGACCACATGTAAACATATGCTGATCACAGACAACCACATAGAGACCTCACACTGACCACACAGAGACCTCACACTCACACTGACCACACAGAGACCTCACACTGACCACACAGAGACCTCACACTCACACTGACCACACAGAGACCTCACACTGACCACACAGAGACCTCACACTCACACTGACCACACAGAGACCTAAAGCAGGACAATGTTCTGATCATTAACAACCACATCTTGGAAAAACACACAAGCCAGAGTAATATATAATGGACCCCAAGGGCATCCTTAGGCCTATTTTAGGGGGGCTTTAGTGCCCCAAAGTTATTTTTAGCCTCCCCCAAATAAATGTGTATTTATTGGCTTAAGTCGTGAATAGTTTGCTTTCAGTCCCACCCTGCCCCAGTAAAACTCAGCCCCCCCATCCATTCAGCTCTAACTGCTCCCCTGATGGATCCATTCTTGGTTATGCTCACATCTCAGTCTCAGTCAAAGAGAAAATTATATACATGACAAAATGTTAGCATGTGCATGCGTGCCAGCAGCCTTAACAGGATATGTCCTCAAAGGGAAAAGCACACAAGGAAAACTCAGCCACTGAGCATCTCTTTATTGCATCGACAATATTCAGAATGGGCTCAAATTACAAGATGATCTGATAATTATATCTTTTCTTTTTCTGAGAAATCTGGACTGTTTGCCCAGGAGAGGCAATAAATAAGTGAAAACAAAGACAACCTACCTGTCCAGTATAAGCACAAGGCAAAAATCACATTTACCATCAGAATATTCAGTCAGAATTTACTCCACACATACAGAGAAAATACAGCAATAAAGTCGTATTCTGATAGATTAGAGCTCCTTGATGTATTGTGCTTAAAAAGATGCAATTATTAAAACATTATACTATAACTAGATAAAAAAATTAAATCGTGATTAATCGCACAACTGTCCATAGTTAATCACAAATTACTCGCAAATTAAATCATGAATTTATTCAACATTTACCATTAAGGGATTTTTTTCAGGTGTTCATTTTCTTATCAATATTAGAGTTGCTTTATGCAAATGTATGCATTTATTATTGGAAATCAATTACCAAAAAAAAATCAACAACAAAGATTGCCCAAAGGTCATCAGAAACCCTTCATCACTTAAGAAAAACTCAAGCCCAACAACAGATCGTCATGTTGACCTGCTAAATATTACATATTACTTAGTCATATAACTAAGTATAGATCAGAGGTTGGCAACCTTTTTAAAGCAAAAAGCTATTTTATCCTAAATGTCTGACCCAAGATTTACAAAGAGCCCCAATGGATAGAGAAGAAGGTTTAAGATACGACCTTTAATGCGATATTGGTATATGCATTTAACACAAAAACAAAACTTCAAGTATTTACAAAAAATAAAGAATAACAATTTGACTCGGATGCGTAACAGCGCAAAGGTGACGCTTGATGAGTTCGTTTGGTGACTAATAACACAATATTGTTCTGTGCTGTAGCGATAGTGATAGTCTTCACCCTCACCCAAGTTCGTTTGGCTCTGCAGTTGTCTGCCCTTCACTCTCCACTTCACTAGTTGTAACTGACCGATCGAGCAGTGCAAAATGTCTTCACCACCTCACCATCCAAAATCAGCTGGCTATAATAAGTAAATCGGAGAAAATATAGTAATTTTATGAAGATTTGGGAAGGCGTGGTGACGATTTACTATGAAAAGTATATGAAAGAATTAGGAATCCAAATAAACTTAATAAGCCTACATCCAATCTCGGACACTGAAGAAAACTCTGGAAAGCATACCATTTGACCAAAGACATACTATCGTAGAGAATGACTTTGAGGAAGATGTAAATTATGCATTTAAGACATCACAAAAGCGCGCCGCCTCATTCACGTATAGCTAAAGGAATACTATTATTATCATAATATGTTGCGACATGAAAATGCGAACGCGTCTATCATTCTGAGAAGAGCCGCAGCCTGTTATGGTATTTAAGACTAGATGTACTTCAGTGGTAGCTCATTTCACATCGACAGTAACTGCAAATATCTTTGGTCTTGTCGATGGACCCATCTGACTGAGTTTTGAAGCTGAACCTGCCATTCAAAATATATTTTTCTTTGTTCATTATTTTTCCCGAGCTGCCATCCGACTCAACACGCGCTATGGCATCAAAAAAATTAGTTACGTTATAATGAATTGCCATTGACGCGCTATTATCGCGTTAACTTTGACAGCCCTAATTATAACACATTTGTAAAAGCATTATAACCATAAATATTCAATGTGTGGGGGAGGAGTTATGACAGCACTGCTTCTTCCTGCACTGTCCTGGCTGAAGGTCCATTTTACCACTTGTCTATTGTGGATTACTCGGGATTACTCAGATTTAACTAACACCTGCCCTTGCAGATCTGTGTTCATTCACACTGGTATGTTACAGTGTTACAAAGGACCCTGTGACCGCCATTTACAACACATCATTGCTTCAGAGATTATGACTTCATAGAATGAGCCTTGCTCATAGAAACTCATAAGATCCAAGAGTCCAGTCAGCAGCACCCCGCCCCCCCCACCCTGACACACAACACAAAAGCATAAAAGCTGCCCAGCCTCAACTCTGTTCCCTACAAACTTATGCCTATTCTCACAACATCCTAAACAAAGGCAATTCCACTGGTTACACTTTATTAATAAACGGTGCTGAATATTTATAAGTATAGCTGCACATTCTCAAAGCCAGAGCATAGTGACTTTAGTTTGCACTATGCTGTCCTATATAATCTAGCACATCCACAAAAGTATCTGATCCAAAGGACAATCAGTTCAGTACTAAAGTGGAACAGACTTGGGCATGTAGTACACTGGACAGCTGCTGATGCTCAGGACACATATCCTGAGGTTCTGGAGACACAGAGACTTTCTGGGGACAGCCTTTCCAAGTGCCACTCTGGCCGAGATCAACATTTCAGTCCAGTCAGCAAAAAGGGGGCACTTTTGTGGGTGAGGCCTCTTGTGGGACTGTAGGATGAGCACTTTTCCTCTTCAGCAATTCTGACCGATGCACCCTGCTAGTACAGATTCACTCAAGAAAAGTTAAAGGGCACATTCTGATGTTCTCCTCAAGGCTTTAAACAAGTGCCTGTTAAGTGGACTGCTGAGGCTCTTCTGAGAAAAATTGCTTAGCTGGGAGAGATGGGGCAGGAGTGGGGTGAGCGGCGGACTCGAGGAGCGGGAAATGCCAGCGCACTAAGACTTGGTGATGCTGTAACACAATGACGTGCACACTTTACACTGTTTGTCCTCTGCAAGCTTCCGTACGCAGCTTGAAATTGAGACAAAAGCCAGTTGAGCACTGTATGGTATAATCCAGTTGTCCAATGCAGTTTGAATGCCTGCTTCTTTTATTTTTTCGATTGTGAAATGTCTTTCAGCTCTGCTGCTCCTCCCCAAAAACAGGACAGAGTGAAAACATTAAAAATTTGGATTAAAAAAATTCTCCAAGAAGACACTTGGCAAGCCGACCTCCAGGTCGATGTGAGTGTAAGGTCGGCCACACACCTGGGTGGCGGGGCAGTGAACATGCCCTTTTCTGCCTGCAGGGGGCACACGTACAGGTGCGGTCCAATTCAGCAAGTGGTGCTAGAGCGGCTCGGTCCAATTCCGGCTCAGTTTCTGAACGAGGGCTTCCTCACGAGGGGCTGAAAAAAGGAGGATGGCGCTGAGGTCGGCTTTTGCAGCACCCTGCTTTCATTCAGATAGCGAGGGGGTGCGGTCACCCTCAGCTCAGCTCCACGCCATCGCATCTACTCCCAACACGCCACCCAGAGCTGCCTGATGCCCAACATCACAGGCAGACTCAAAATAATGAAAATGAATGAGAGCATCTCAGACAGATCGACTCTTAAATATATGCAACATTAAAAGTCAGCGTGAAAAACTGAGAATGTGTCAGAAAAAAGTGCCAGGAAGTCCAGAGATGACGGAGGAGGAGAGGTGCCGCTGTCCAGCTGAGCATCCTCCTACACACGTATACGCCAGCGTCCGACAGCTGGGACAGCATCCGGCGGCGAGACTGTACCCCACGCCAGCGAGCACAGCGGCCATACCGAGCCTCATACTGTTGGTTGGGCTTCACAAGCGGATTGGACCTCCAGCTATCCAGAAACTGGGCCGCTCCCTCCAGGTGAATGTTTGTGATGTTTACAAAATGCAAAAAGTGTCACGCAGCCTAGCAGTGCGGCTCCTGTGGGACCACGCACCCGGAACACGGATCGGAGAAGCCAGCACAACCATGGAGTCCCCTAGCTTAGTAACCATGTGGATGGCGGTGTCTTACCATGATGGTGGTGACGATGACGGTCCTGTTCTCCAGACCAGATGTCTCATTTGGAAGTAAGGCTTCATTCTGGATCAGAACCAGCTTGTCAGCATCATTCCAGTAGCCGATCTGGAGACATGAGACAGATTAGGATAAGGACCCTGCAAGGAGGAACATACAACATACACATCATGGAACTATAATTCCCTCCATGATTCCACTGTCTGTTTCTGGAGATGGAGTCCCTGAATTAAAGCCACCGAAACCGGTGCCATAAACCCCCGGGCAGGTTGGGTGAGAGGACTTAGGGGGTTTACCCTTCTGGGGCCATTGCTTTTCAGCTCAAACACGTCCATTGTGTAGTTGATCCTTCGTCCGTAATGGTCAAATTGGACATTTCCTGTCAGTCCTTGGAGTCGAACCTTTAATAAACAAATAATAAACAGTGAGGATCTCATCATTCCTGCTGAGTTCAAGGCCTAATGAAAGTGTCCCCATTCTGCTATGTCTCATCCTGAAATTTAGGCATCCACTTCCTGTCAGTTGTAATGCTGCCCACAGCAGGATTCCTTAGAATCCCGCTAGCTCTCACTGGCCGAGACTGACATGGTTCTTCTTTTAGAATCATGCTGTATATAATCAAGCATGAACAAAGCAAAGCCCTGTAAACATTCTTTTGTCTATGTGCCCATCACCTTGGATCTTGGTGGCTCACCTGCTTCAGGGTGCGCTCCATGTCTAATCCCTGATTCCACGGTGCTGCCGGGTTGGCCAAGCAGTCACCCGCATTGCCCCTGCGCGAAAGATCCACCTTCTGCCGCCGCAGGCTCCGAAAAGCCTCCGCCATCACCATTACGCCATCATAGGCCAGTGCTGACGTGTACTGAGGAAGAGGAACCACAGAGAGCCAAGGTGAACTGAGGAAGAGGAGCCTGCAGAGTGCCAAGGTGAACTGAGGAAGAGGAGCCTGCAGAGTGCCAAGGTGAACTGAGGAAGAGGAGCCTGCAGAGTGCCAAGGTGAACTGAGGAAGAGGAACCACAGAGAGCCAAGGTGTACTGAGGAAGGGGAGCCTGCAGAGTGCTAAGGTGTACTGAGGAAGAGGAGCCTGCAGAGTGCCAAGGTGAACTGAGGAAGAGGCACCCTCAGAGTACCAATGTGTATTGCGGAAGGAGAACCCACAGAGATTCTGCTTACTGTGTTCATATCCACAAACACTGTTCTCGTTGATGGTGGGTAGGGGGCACTGCTGTGAAAAGGTCCACTATCTCGCAGAGAGGAGGATACTAAACTGCTTGCACTAAAAGCTTCAGTTTACATTAGCTACTGGCTGACAAATCAATGATTCTGTATGAGGAGCTCCAGAGATGGTGCATCAGGTAGCATCTCCAGATCGTTATGGCTAAGTAAACCCAGGCCATGTAAACCCAGTGTCCTGAACAATCTCCCTGAGTGCCTTATCAGGCACCTCATGTTTACAGAGCCATAGAAATAATATGCATGTTTTAAGAATTTGAGAAAAAGCCTTTAGATTCCGTTTTGCTCATCTGATAGTTTGTTCCACAATTTACAGAACCCATATACCAGCACAGGCCTTACTGAAGACCTTCAGAGAACAAACCAACTGCAGAAATGCAGTCAGCTTGCTTATCAAGGGATCAGTAGGGAAAGAGATGTTATCTTTACATATGCGATATTATGCTTCATATTGAGGCTAAAAAGCTGACAATCCAGTTAAACGAGCTGCATTCTGTGTGAGAAAATCTCAGATGAGGATTACGGGGCAGAACTGGGCAAAAGACAGAAACCTCCCTGAAACCAACTGAAATCCAACACCAAGGACTCTAAAGGCAACATCAAATAAATCGCTCATCCTGATTATGGTGCTTTGAAAGTAATATCGCATAAGATCACCTGGAGGGACATGGGACCACAATGCTGACTTGAGGACTGGCAGACTAAGCAACACCAATATATCAAAGTGGAGAAAAGTCAGTCACAGTAGCTGACTCCCGCACAGCAGCACATGGAGAAGCTGCATATATTACAGAAATGTGAAGGAGGTCAGCCCTTGCCTCCCAATTATCACAGTGTTTATCATTCAGTTGCTGCCCTGCATGACATCAATAAGCAGCCGGCTGTTTTAGGGGGAGGAGGAGGCTGGAGATCTGACTGGGCGGAGCCTGAGGGCATAGCCACTGCCAGTGATTCAGGGCATTCACGGATGTCATCACTACCATCGGTATCACACTGACAGGCATGATAAAACCTGACTGGGTACTCTTACGGTGCTTCATGTCAACTCATTCAAATAAACATTTTGACATGAAATAAAAAAGTGAAAAATAGCCAAATGCTTTTAAAGAGAAAACCTACATCAGTGAGGCTTCCTTTCATTTTTAACTCAGCAGGAATCTGGCACACAGGCACTAAAACCTTAGATTCTCCCTTAAAGCCATTTGACTTGGAGTCAACTGAGCTGAAGAAAGATAATAAAAGGATGGAGAAGAGAGGGGAACACAAAGCTGAGGAGAGAGAGAGAGACAGGGAGGCAGCAAAGCAGAGCTACACACAAACGCCTGTCACTTCACATCTGGCCAGGACGATGGAGTTTAAAAGCAGAACAGGACTGAGCTGTGGGAGAGCCTGGTAGCTTCTAACAGGGCAGACACAGGCAGGCATCCTGAGGGGACTCTGTATTGCTGTGACTCAAGGGTGTGAGGGCTCATGGACCTGTTGGGTCACCTCAGTGACTGTGACTCTGGGGTGTGAGGGCTCATGGACCTGTTGGGTCACCGCCGTGATTTTGAGTCAGGGGTGCGAGGTCAGATGGACCTGTTGGGTCACCTCAGTGACTGTGACTCGGGGTGTGAGGGCTCATGGACCTGTTGGGTCACCTCAGTGACTGTGACTCTGGGGTGTGAGGGCTCATGGACCTGTTGGGTCACCTCAGTGACTGATTCAGGGGAATGAGGGCTCATGGACCTGTTGGGTCACCTCAGTGACTTAGTGATCTTTGATTATAATTATCACAGTCATGATTTCTTATTTGCAAAAGACCAAGGTGTTACACACAGTTGGCCTACCTTTGGCGGACTGTCGGATCCAGGGTATTCTCTCTGGTCCAGCTTGTTCCAGCGCTGCATAAGCTTAAGCACCATGGGTGTACTGAAGTCAACCAGCTGGAAACCTGTTACATTGGCCCCACCATGCATAAATCGCTCCAAGGAGATGTCCTTGAAGCCCTAGTGGTACAGAAGGAGTTTTTATTTATCAGACATCAGGTCAGGAATTAAAAGCAGGCTTTACTCTTGCCAGCTTGCAAACCAACCATGCACTGAGCATAAGGGACGGCTGAGAGCATCTGTGTAACACACTTTACATCTTGATTTCCTACCATATCAGTTTAGAGAGTCTCTTCACACTTGGCCTGACTGAGTGTATCCCCAACCTGAATTTAATCAGCCTGTTTACATGAGGATCTGCTAGGTCTCAGGCTCTGTTTAGTCTAGGTTACAGCACAAACACTGAGCTGTCCTCAGTTGCAAAAGAGTGAAACCGACCTGAAACTCCCCTTACCAGGTTCGCCATGATGTAATGGTAGCCTTTCACATGCTTTCCAACACTGACAATCTAAAAGACAAGTAAAGAAGTTCAGACAAGGCTGGACAGCGTCCCATTTAAATGACTGCCCAATCTATTCAAATGCCCTGTTCTGTGTCACTGTACATTACAGATCAATCAGATTCAGACAAGGAAAGGACAGCCACAAAGGAGCTGGATAAGATAGGTCTTTATCAGTGGCCCTAATTCCTGTTAAGAAATGGAGCCATCTTATTCCCCATATCAGGCGAAAAAGCTGCACTAACCTGTTCTAAAAGGTTCTGCAGTCTCTCGGGCTCAAGGTCAATAACGAACTTCTTCTCCTGGCGGCGGTCGAGGTCTTCGAGGAGGCGCCGGTAGCTGGCATCGTTGAAGCTCTCTACGCAGATTGCGCTAACCTGCCAGTTGTTCTGCCCCGCCTTCTCCATAATTGCCTGCAAAATGGCATATCCTAGAGACAAGCAGACAGACAGGTGTCAGGACTGAGGTCGACAAGGAGGCCAATAGTCTGTCAGCCGGATTGTCAGGATGCCCAGAAGTCTTTCAATGTGCATGAAACACATGAAATTAACTGTTTGGTCTAGCGCACAAACTGACACGACCTACAGTCTACTCACTGAGATGGAGATTGCTTGTCTTGCTCTGAAGCTCCACCCATACCTTTGTTTTTCCCTCCATTGGTATCTCACCTCCATAACAACATGAAACCATACTAAAGACCATAAAAAGATAACAAAACAGAGGGAAACTGACAGAATATCTTAATATCTATCCTGTGTCCATACCCAAGCTCTATTCTGCTGCACCTCCCTGCCCTGTTAAGGGATCTGCCCCCCTTAGCTTCATAGAGCTGCCTCCTTTCAGAACACTACCCCTCCTGCCTTCCAGAGCATTTAGATGCACATTAACAGAGACCCATCCCAATGTCACGGTAACCCCCCCCATCTTAAAAAGCCCCCGTTTCTAGGGCTCAGCTTTCCTGATGGATTCTGAAATATGTCTGATTCGGTTGCCAAGTGGAACAGATGTCCCCGATAAACGACTGTGCCTGCTCACCACAGTAACCTGGCAGACTCCCCCCACCCCCCACCCAATTCATTTACATGCATGGGGGAGGCGATAAGGGAGGCGGGCACTCCCTCACACACACACACACACACACACACACACACACAATTGATAGGCAGGTAAAACAAGACGCTGCTTATTACCCTATGATGAATCTGTATCCTGATTGGGTAATTCAAGGCCAGAGAGTAAAAGTCCAGACTGGGATTTTGTTTCAACCAACGAGTTGAATACTCTGTGACTGTGACTCTTTATGCTCAACTGGTTTTTTGAAACAAAATCTTGGTCTGGACTTTTACTCTCTGGACCTGATTCACCAAACTTTGGTCCTGATCCACAGAGTCAGGATCAGGAAACACCTACATGCTACCGCAACAAGTCCATTGGTAGATAACATTCCACCTTCCATAACTCCACCACACATCTCCCTGTCCAATCACATCCCAGATTCCTGGGTAATAGGTCAAGGTGAGTGTTTAGAACAGGGGTGGACAATCTTATCTGCAAAGGGCTGGTGTGTGTGCAAGCTTTTGGAACAACCTTTTGGTCAGCTCTTCAAACCCAGGTGTGAGGACTCTTTTGCCAATCAGTCCTCAAATTAGGAAGCTGCAGCAAAAACCCACATACACAAAGGCCCATTCTGGATAAGATTGCCCATCCCTGGTCTAGAATGTGCATTCACACATAGGTAACAGACAAAGATAACACACATGCGCAAATAACATGCACGTTCAGTCGTACGGCAGCTGGCTAGGACAGAACAAGGGAATGCCATCCACAGAACAGATACTAGTACACAGTAGTACATAGCAGACAGCATGCCCCAAAATATCCCAGTATATCCCTGATTGGCAGTGTGCTGACCAGGATCCCCCTCCCAGCTGCAGAGGAAGAAGGTCTACCAGATCACTATGGATCTACTGCAGAAATCCATCACGTTACACATAACAGAAAGAAACAAGTAACTTCACAGCACCTGCATCTGCCCCCACTGTCTTGATTTTCTAAAAGGGACTGGAACGTGACCACCACCATTCCCACTGCCCCAGATACAATAAAACATTTTCATTCTGGGGAAAAACACATCCTTCCTCCTTACAGCTGCAGTCTCATTGATCCTGGTTGATTTCAGTTGCTTCTTGTCAAGACCAATCTACTTCATTTATTAAGTATTTTAATCAATGCCTTAACCATTGCACCCCCTGCTGTCTGGTTATCACAATAAATCCAGCTCTCACCTCTGTCAGTGTCGTAGAGGAAGACGAAGCGGTTCCAGTCATAGTGGTCTAGCAGGCTCAGCAGCGCCCCCCGGATGGACGGCCGTAACTGTAGAGCAAACTGGCTCTCGCCCTCGGTGGGGAAGCTGGGTGTGATCAGTGAGATGTGCAGGGCACTGCAGAAAGAGGTGAGCGTGTGCACGGAGCGCTTATCATACAGGCCGAAGATGGCGAAGACACCCCGGGAGTACTGCGAGCAGACTGGGGGGGCAGACAGAGAACATTGAGAGACAGAGAGGGGGGCAGAGAGGAGAGAGATGGTTAGAGGTAGAATGCAGTCCAAGGCTGCAGCCTAAGTATTATTAATATTCTGTGATCTGGTACAAAATATGTAAGCAAGTCAGTTAAATACAAATTTTTTTCTTTGAAAAAACACACTCAGATATGGTAAAATTATCAAAGCTTCATCCTTCCCATTGAGCTGTTGATGACTTATGAGCAGAATCATAAAGGCAGCTATTTTTCTATCACTGCACTCTGGTGCACCAGTGATCTCACCAGTGCACCGTGCATAGAGCACAAAATGCTTTTCATTCATGGTGGAAGAGAGCTGAAATGCAGTGAGGAGTGCTGAGGAAAAGTGTGGAGAGCTGAAGAGCAGTAAGGAACGAAGAGGAACAATTAAGAGAGCAGAGGAGCAGGAAGGAGTGCTGAGGAAAAATGAAGAGAGCTGAGGAGCAGTAAGGAGCGCTGAGAATCAGTGAGGAGAGCTGAGGAGCAGTAATGAGAGCTGAGAATCAGAGAGGAGAGCTGAGGAGCAGTAATGAGAGCTGAGAATCAGAGAGGAGAGCTGAGGAGCAGTAATGAGAGCTGAGAATCAGTGAGGAGAGCTGAGGAGCAGTGGTCGTGCTCCAGCCCTGACTCACCATAGAGACAGAGATTCTTCTAAACCCATGTACATATTTCCACTGACTCAGCTGCAGCTGAGGATGAACCAGAGCTGGACTGACATGGGGATCCCACCAGGTATATGAAGACAGTAGCTGACCTCTCAGTCAGTGTAACTGAGCTATTGGGGAATGTTTTTTCTCAGCCTGGAATTGAAAACTGATGGCACAGCTGCCAAAATCACAGCAGTGCTACACATGTATCCGAAAGTAACCTCACTGTCTGACTGTGCTGCATGCTAAGATAATCCCACCATCTGAATCCGATGCATGCTAAGCTAACCCCACTGTCTGACTGTGCTGCATGCTAAACTAACCCCACTATCTGACTGTGTTGCCTGCTAAAATAATCCTACCATTTTACTGTGCTGCCTGCTAAACTAATCCTACCATCTGACTGTGGTACATGCTAAACTAACCCCACTGTCTGACTGTGCTGCCTGCTAAACTAGTCCTACCATCTGACTGTGCTGCCTGATAAGCTAATCCCACCCTCTGATTGTGCTGCATGCTAAACTAACCCCACTTTCTGACTGTGCTGCCTGCTAAACTAGTCCTACCATCTGACTGTGCTGCCTGATAAGATAATCCCACCCTCTGATTGTGCTGCATGCTAAACTAATCCCTCTGTCTGACTATTGCTGCCTGATAAACTAATCCTACTATCCAAGTGTGCTGCATGCTAAACTAACCCCACTTTCTGACTGTGCCTTGCATGCTAAACTAACCCCACTTTCTGACTGTGCTGCCAGCTAAGCTAATCCTACCATCCAACTGGGCTGCATGCTAAGATAACCCTGCTTTCTGGCTATGCTGTGTGTTAAGCGAGTCCTGCTGTCTGACTATGCTGAATGCTAAGCTAACCCCAGCTTCTAATTGTCCTCTTTGCTAAGCTAACCGTGCCGTCTAACTTTGCTGAGTCCTAAGTTAACCTTGATGTCTGACTATGTGACGGTTGACAGTTGTTAAGCCATCCATCCATAATAAATGATGACAGGTAAGTGGTAATTAACTACTGACCAATCAGAATAAACAGCTTAGAGGTGAGCAATAGGCTTGCTCCTGGACTTTTCCTTCCCCACCACGCCCACACACGTTTCTATGAGGAAACAGTAGGCATTATAGGAATTGCACTCAAGCATACAGGCTGTGTCTGAATTCAGGGACTGCACCATTCAAAGACAACATTCAAAGACTGAAAGCATCACAGCAACGCAACAAGGCTGTCCTATTTGGAAGGCTCTTTCAAATGCGGCCTAGAAATGCGTCCTCCGTTTGCTGCGCCGCTAAGGATCCACCCAATGGATCCTTTGCAGCCCAACATATCCTGAGATTCATTGTGCAGTGGTAAAGTGGTTGTGTCCTGGCTAGATGATAGGAGGGGGTGCTTCGTGACTTAGAGGTAAGGGTAGGACCAGCTGGTGACGGCCAGACCGTCCCATTTGACAACGCTTCCTGTTCAACCTTCGAAGAATGTAGCCCTATGCCTTCCTAGATTGTGTCCTTCGAAGGACGCAGCCCCTGAATTTGGACACAGCTACAGTGAAGACCCAGCCTCACATTTATAGCCATAGTTCAGTCAGCCCCCTGGCTTTAGTTCCAAGTCACCCAGAGCACCCTGAGAAGAACTTGATGACGCTCTCTCAGATTTTATTTATTTTTTTGATGGGTTTTTTTTTTTTCTTCAAAACTGGTCTCTGGTGCAGCAAAGCTGCTGCTATTTCATCAAAGCATCTGGCTCCCCAATTAGCCATTTATACCACAGATTCCAGGATCAGGAGCCAGCTCCCTGCACAGGGACGGAGACAGCCTGACTTATCACTGCGAGCAATTCGGGAGTTATGGCAGAACGATGCGGCCCCTTGGGAACAGTGACTCCACAGGTCTTTGGATCATGTTCCTGCTTCTCACACTGTTACACAGTGTGTGTCTGCAGTTCAGTCCCGTGTGGGATTTCCGCTGTGCACATTTCCCAGGTAAAACGAGGGTGCGGGGCTGCTGACACTCCCCCTGTGTGCTCTCCCATAATCCTCTCTGCCAATCCCAACGGGACACCCGTCTGAAGGCATGTTATCTGCCATGCCGCCATCTGCCACACAGGAAGCGGCAGCCAGAGACATGGGCGATAAAACATCTCTGGAAGACAGCTGTTCAGGAGAGAAAGCGCCTACGGAACAAAGCTGCCAGCTCAGTGGATCCGTCACCACGTGGTTTATGGCACTCTGAGGTGCTCCATGTTCATGCTTAACATGCTGGCAGTGGGCCAGCATGGGCATTGGGCCGTAAGCATTTCAGAGGCAGGTAAATTCTCAAAATGCTTCCCATGATGATTCCCATAATATGCAAGTGCAGTAAGTACGTAGACATATGTCTAAAATATTATCATCTTTGTGTGACTCCCGTGGGAGTCTGTCTGCGGTTCCCCTCAGCTAGCTCAGCTAGCTCTTCATTCTCCAGCTACTCAGTGGATCGGACCAGTTGGAGACATTCGTCCTTCATGCTGGAAGGGTCTCTCCTTTTGTCTCTCCTGGAAGTAAATTCCGCATGAGCGATCCCACGAACAGCCCCACTCAATGTCTTTCCACTGAAATGCACAAGCAGGTCACCCAGGACCCCAGCCATCCAATCACAAACAGCCAGGATACTCGGCCTAGCCAACTGGGATAAGCGACAGGGAGCCCCGGTTAGGCTCCCCTCCCATTTGCGCTATTTTCATGTCCGTACGCTGGATCCATTTTAATGAACCCAGCATTAGGGTGGGTTCGGCTTCAGAATGAAGAATTTCGAGTTAATACTTACAGCTGACATCACGCAACACGCCCTTGAGCACTGAGTAGGATTCACGCAGACTGCCAAACTTCAACAGCAAAGGAAGAAAGTGGCTGAACGAAATGTAGGGGCTTCTTGCTGGGGCAAAACCCCCACAGGACAGCCTACGCAGCAGCCTTGCTGACTCTGTTACCCAGTGTCGTCTGTACACACCCCCAGGCATAACAATGTCCTTTATGCAACTCAGCCTCCTGTCGGCATCACTTACGCTCCCACAGTACCACGGTCTAAAGACGGAATCGGCTTTCCTCTTGCTACACGTTGCCCCCTGTCGATTGTCTTGATACTGCAGGTGGATAAAGATATCAAAATGCTTTAGCATCATGGATATTGCAGTGTCAGACTGCATAAATGCTCAGGATAGAGCAGTGGGCCCGTAAATGAACCATCCTTCTCGACTATCCAGTCGGCTGAACAGCGGCAGTAACATATTGTTACAAGATGAAGGACTCGACCAGCACTCTGACCAGAGTATGTCAATGCAAGCTGGGAGCTAGTTGGCATCACAGTTTTATCTCGGCCCGAGAGAGATGACCTTCAGTAGTCAAGTTCTCGCAGATCTATTTTTAAGCCATGGCCACCATTTCTGGGTGCCCATCATGAAGATCCAGTCACCATCCGAGGTTCTCTGGGTGAATGTCTTTCCAGGCAAGTGTCCCATTCACAGTAACACATCCTTCACTTTCCATCCTGTCCAGGGACTATGAAGCTTGCAGTGGGAGGGATTACTGGGATTTATTTTTTATTGGCATACACTAATTTCTTACTGGTTACTTTGGCTTAAACCCGGCTGGTAATTGACAGTACAGTGGGACCCCGCTACCCGCGGTCTCAGTTATCTGTGGTTTACTGCAGAAAAAAGTTTAAAGATTCCAGAAACGGTTCAAACGACGTACCAAGCGACAGACTGTATGCAGGTGAGTGGCCTCATTTTTCATTATTTTTATTGCTCTGTCATCCCTTGATGCATGGTTTTTTTTCATTGCTATATCATCTTTTGAGAATCAGGCTAAGAATGTCAGAATCCCTTTCATTCAAGAGAGTACAGTACTCTACAGTACTGAATAATAATGAACAATGTACTTTATTATTACTGTATTTAATCTTGCCGATGTGTTACTGTGCATAATTCATCAATTAAACTTTTCCATATGTATGTGCATGGAAATCATGTTATATATGGGGTCTGTGGATGGTTCGCTGTTATCCATGGTTTCGGCTGGATAGTATCACATGTGGATATAGGGGGACGATGGTACAATTCTCATAATCACATGGTTTTTTTCCCGGAACACTCTCTCATCTCCTATTTCACTCACCTGTTACCCTGTCTTTCATTGCAGGCTATTCCTATGAGCCTGCCTTGTGTCGCAGGCAGCTATATGGCCTCTGCTCTCCATTCTGACCCAAAGCAATTGCTCTGCGTGTCACCTAACCTATCATTGAGTTTTCCACCTAAATAGCCTATCACTGGGCTAGCCAGCT